AAAGACGTCACTGCCGCCTTCGTTACACCCTCAGCGACCTCTCCTTTATCAACGCCTTACATCGTTGCGGGTGTCCGCCACCGGGTACGACCGTTGATTAAGTAGAAAACGGCAAAAACGTGGGCTTCTGAAAAGATATTCAGTCAAGCTTTTGTGAAAGATTTCTCCTCATTTTGGAGTTATATGTTCAGCAGAAGTTCAGAAATTAAACCAGTTTCTCATGAGTTTAGACCGTTTTTACGAGTTAAAGCCAATGGCCCACTCCTGAAGCCAATATGCTTTATTGCCTCCGTTTCTGAGCCGTCAATCTCCCGAAGGTTTTCATCGCCGATGTACGAAGCAAATTAAGGCCATATCCCTACAGAAAAAGAAGAGACCCTACGTAAGCATCACATGAAGCTTCCTTTTACGGCCAACAAGTTTTTTTCGGAAAGGAAATTCAGCTGAAAGGAAAAGCCTCCGGAGGTATACCCAATACCCCCTACATCTAAAAGCGCTCAGAAATATAAGAATTGTAAAATTCTTAAATGTATCCAATGTGAAAGTTAATCATGAACCAAGGTGCTCATGCAGGTAAAAAGTTAATCTTATACTCAGTACATTAAGCTGTTTTATGGAATGACCTATCATGGTAATATGGTGGTAAAGGAGGCAGGTGTTTCCAAATCTCGTTCTAAGTGCATGATCCATTCGAAGGCGTTAAGGGCAGGAATGCTTTCATCGCTATAGTCACCGACAGGGCTGGCTACTTTTGCAGATTCATTCAACAATATATTACGCCGTATATATATTTGAGGGTGGAGGTGTTGTAGTAGCAAGTGGCGCACTATCACACACGCTTGGCCTAAGATCCAATCCAGGATCGCTCACCCTATGCCACCCAGGCCTCCCACCCAGATAGAAGGCTCGTCTGGCAGGATAAAAGCACTGACTTGTACATCGGTTGGCCACAGCAACTCGTTGTATAGGCACCATACGCATTTAGAACGCCTCTACGATTGAGAATGGAAGTCGAAGGGATTAACTGACGTAAAGTTCTTGGACCTTTATCCTTTATGGATTGGAAAACCGTCTTAACAGCTGATCTTGTCTCCCACTGCCCTAATCCCATAAGCATTAGGAATACGTTGGATATGGCAACGTCGGCGAAGGAGGGGAAATGAGGAGTAGGGGGTATAGTTGCTAGAGGCATAAGCACAGAGTACATTTTTTGGTGTCCTTTGCGTGCAATTCTAAGCAGGTCCAATGGGACAGGGAGCCTCAGTAAACTCTTCAAAATCTGCTATTCGAGACCGGCTCCTGTTCCCGAGGGTGAAAGCTGTTTAGATTGGCTTCAGGCCGAGCTATCTGATTACACTTGCTTACTTTGGAATTCAGCTCACTTTACGCTTTTCCTCGAAGAAGGAGGCATCGAATAAAGAAAGTCATAAAATATTCCCTCAAAAGTACATCTTCTAGAGGAATACCCCGAGGTACGACGCAGCTAGGAGTCACCTCGATAAATTATCGATAGGCTGTTTTGGCTGGACACTTTCCATTATATTTAATCGCCTTTTTCACTGCCACTGATTGCTTCAGAGCAGACGAGTGCGGGCGTATCCATTAGGGGAGATCCGCTTTCAGTAAGAGACATGCTCTCAAGATGTACTAGGTTCGGTTCATTGACGTCACAATTTTTCCTAGTTATTTTGTAGTTCATATGACAACCCAGAACAGCTTGCCGGATAACAACAGACCTCGACGAAGCTAATTAGAGCGTCTCCTACACATGACAGATGCAGGCACGGATTCATTGGATCCAATTCATGCCCAAACCGGCCAGAGTCTGTCGGAACGGAATAGTCCGGGTTCATGAACGACCTCTTGTCTGAGAGAAAGCGAGGGGCATTTTCGGGAGCCGTAGCGATGGATAAACGAAGATTCCGGGCAGTACTTAACACGGTACGCTTCCGTTTCGCCCATCAACAACTCCCCTCGTCTCCGGAAAACAAGCCCATACAAACACGTACAGACGAAATGGCGGGCGCCCTCATCAACAACGAAGCAAACCAGGAAGTGACGACGTCGAGGGAAATCGCTGTGATTTCACTCATGTCCGTAGCGGAACTTAGTCGCTGTCGTCTACAGCCTTCCTCCACTCTACACCCCCCGCAGCCATTGATCGAGCGGACTCAGTCTGGGAAGTGCCGCCGAGACAGCTCAGCTCGACACTCCGTGCCGACACAGGACACCTAAGAGAAAAATTGTCACGACGCATCCATTCCATTACACATACGCACTTATTTCTAGGCAAAAGGGCACCTTCCAGTCCAGCGAACGGACATCGAATTGAGGGTAACGGCAGCAGGGCGCAATCATTCGTTATCGATGAGTCCTTGAACCGAAATTGCTGCCGTGTGCTCACCCGTTCCCCTTTTCGCCCGAGAGGATAAGAATACTCAGCCTGATTGGATTTAATGGGCACAGTTCAACACCTATCCAAACCCCTTCGGCCGAAAGACGTCCCCATCTAGAATGATGACAGAACACCCCGGGCAAAGAGCACTGCAATCAATCTGTCTTTCACCTTCCGAACTTCTTCTATATTTCCGGTCACATCAACTTTCCGTTCACTGAAGGTTCTGAGACAGGAGGCCACTTGCCGACCCGACAGGTAACACCAGGCCGCAGTACGTGAGAATGGAGTGCACGGTCGCGATGCGGCCTGCCCATATGCTTCATTTCAAACAGCAGCGACTGCTAGACAACCCCTAGCACACATTATATTCAAAGGTATGGACCGAGCCTGTTTGGCGGTAAGGGTTCAGTTCCGCCCGGATACCAATCTTGTTGAACTCGTCCAAGTTTCGTTCTTAAAGTAGCCGTACTTGAGCAAGCTGTCAACTCGACGACCAGACCATTACTGCTCATTTAAAGCCTACCTACCTTATTTTCCGGTAAGAGAGGCACTGACTGTTACTTGTGGCTCTTTCAATCATTTCAACTACTTCGTATTAGGAAGTAGAAAGTCAAAAACAGCAGCATCATAGGAGCTCCAGATCCCTGTCTGTCAGATCTCCCAGACAGATCGTTTGAATGTTAGCACAAATATTTTCTACTCAAGTTCAATATGGCATCACTGTCTCCCACCCTCAAAACCGTAAACTCGATCATAATCGGATTATCATATGTGATACACAACAACCAGCACCCACATTGTCCTGAAGTAACCTCATCGATCTCGTACTCCCTTGTTGTCTGTTCTTTTAACTTCTCAGTCATGTGGTTGACAAAAAATCGACAAACTCAAAGGATGACTTAGTTTACGAGTACTTTTTGTTGCTAGTATGCTCGAAGCCTCGTGAAAACAGGGTTCAAAGAGCTGTCTGTCTGAGAACGACATTAGGACGTTGTCCTTTTGCGCTAGGGGTTCAGCTGTATTCTGAAAACACCATTACGAGTAAGGCGCCACAAAGTATAGTGATGTATAAAAGGGATATTACGGCTCCCATTGAACCAAGGGTGGCGCACAATCAATAGAACTCCCACAGGAAAATGAGGGTGCGTGCCTACACGACGTCAGCATTTCTTTAACGCGCCCACGTCCCAGAGAACAGCGCAATCGATGGGCGTTTTCTGAAGCCTCCCCGCACACCCCCTTACGTCCCACTTTGCTCATGACTTTACAATTGGGCAATCTTCTCGGTCCCTCATTCATAGAGAGAGGGGGCCAAACGCGTCGGGTCTCTCGCCATAACAATTCGCTCCAGTCATCAGCGCGGCCCGAATCGCACAAACAGATACCCGCATAACACGATGCCAACCACTACCCAGCCCACTACTCACAAACATCGTGGGGTCAACGTAAACGTACACCACCACCAGGTCTCTTAGGACACGCCCGTATAGGCAATCAGCGCATCCCTTGCCCAGCGTTTGCGTCCCCCTCCCCTCTCCCCCTTCCCTATCGAACAAGTCGTCGCAGCTGCTGGCTGGGCGACCGCACCCCACCCAGTCGGTGAAATGTTCAATAGTCGACCACAAGTGCTTTCAGCGTCTCTAGTCCCAGGCACAATGATAGACTCAGTGAGGCATGTCATGCCATCGGCACTTTTTGTGGCAAACTCAACAGAACAAAATCACACAGCCATTTATTTGCAAAATCATTCACGATTCATTACATACTATTTACAGCCTTCTTAGGAAGAATAGATATACCTAGGTATGTGAGGAGGACACAAAAATGACGGACGGACGGACGGACGAACTGACGGATAAATGGAGGGACTGAAGGAAGGAAGGCAGCGTCCATACCGACGAGACTACAACGATGTCGGTGTTGTCAATGATATCATAATGAAGCAGTGGTACGAAGGGTTTCCAATACCTAATCAACAAGTTGAAATATACCGACCACTACATCAGTCTCAATAATCGGATATGGAAATAAAAAAGGGGGACCGGATTCTGTTCCAACACATCTAGGTCAACCAAGCAACAAATCAATAAATCAATACACAAGGCAATTGTGGGCGGCGCCGTTCGCGCAACAGGGCGCGCGTCCTGACTACTTGACGGAGGAAGAGTGTCGCGGATATAGACTTCTGACCAATCGCAATGTTTAGACACATACCAAAAACGAAAACGACCTAGCAAGCATCAACAAAGACCATTCGGATCACAGAGGCTAAGAGCGTGTGGCGGTCCCTATGAGAAAACTTTGGAGGTCGGGAGAAATAGTCGAATACCCTAAGAATAGCCAATATAAAAATTCGGACATGAACACAAAAATAACATTGGCCCGACCCAGTATTCTCTACAGGAAACACACTTACACATCAAATTTTCATTATAGAGAATCGGGTATGATGACTGAGTTTAGCGACCAGACCAGTTGAACTGAGACAGCCGCGTTTACAAAGAAGACACACAAAAATCGAAGGAATACTTTTTTTCTTGACGAAGGGACGTATCATAAGAAGGAGACGGATTCACGGGGTAGTGCAAGCTGTGTGTGTGGCCTAGATTCGCTGAATCTTATCCGAGACGACGACAGGATTGTTCTTACGGATCTCCTCACGCTCCATCGTTTTGTAGTCAAACGAACAATTGTGCGCTTGATCGTAACGGTGCTCTCCACAATATAGTCCTCCACATCGACACGTGAAGCCTAAACAAATATTTTAAACAATCGGAAAGGGACTAGAAAACCATCGAACGAAAAGTAAACACTCACCGGTGAGACCAACTCTCTTCTTGCACATTTGGCAACGATTGGCCTTCTTCACGGGGGCAGGAGCATCAACAGAAGTGGTGGAAGACTCACTCATAAGAGCACAACTGAAAGATGATTGGATAAGACAAGGGCCGCACTGTTGTTGAAGAAAATGGTGAATCTTCCTCATCAATAAAGTCCAACACAACCTTCACGTAAAGACATACCTGGATTCTGGTTGACTAGCAGCAATTGCTTCAGCACTTTCGAGTTTGGCAGTTACATCACTAGCAGCATGAGCTGCTTGTGCACATGTCTGCGCCGGTGGCTCGGACATTGGGCAGTCGGACATCAGAGAAGACGACGCAGTCATAGGCATAGGAACTGTAAAGAAAGGGGTTATTTTGAAGAACAACGAGCTACAAACCAAATGTTTTGCCCGAAATTTTCATTTTTAGTGTTCGCCCTATTCGCCCAACAGTTTCCCGAGCCATTTTCATAATTTTACACACAGACACCAGACCCCAGACAAAAGAACACATATTTTCGTGCGAAAATAGGCAAGCGTCGCTACAGCACCGCCAAGGTGCGATCTAATCGAATCCAGTTCTTCGTCTTCCCAAAAGATGTATGTGTAAATGCGAACAGGCAAAACAGCGATGGGGACTAGAAATCCAGTGACATGTGGGAGGTCGCCTCACACCCAAATACATAAAACCATTCCAAAAAGCTGTATCTCATGTTAACCAGTCCAAACAAGCAAGTCCTTCAAGAAAGTAGCTCTGAATTGTAATCAATATGCCCGGACCCCCCGAGTCTGTGCCTCTCGTGCTGCTCCCCGCAAACAAATAGGAAAACCTCCCACTCTCCATTAGACCACGCCGCCAGTCGCGGCCGATCAATACGGCACACACCCGCCGATGAAACGGCCACATCGCTAACATGTTTTACGGGGCAAATCAACGAGGAAATGCTTGAACTCACCAGTGGGAGATAATCTGGCAGTGTCTTGGTTACGTTTAATGGAGTCTTTGAAGCACTTTGAGCACAAGCCTTCATTAGCCTGAAAACACATTTATTAGACCATGGAAATGATCAAATGGCCGTTTGGTAAAATGTCTAAGTAATGTACCTGTGATCCGAAGAAACCGCATCCGTTCCGGCACAAAGATGTTGTGGACGGTTGCTGCTGGTTCTCCATATCCACCTGAGAAGTAACGCAGGGTACCGGGCTAAAAGCGAGTAGGGTAAAAATGACCGTAGCGATTTAGAAAATACTGATACGGCTCGAACGAAAACAACGCTGATCGATAAATGGTTAGTAACGATATCACGAAAAGCGTATCAATCTCAATGGTCAAGAAGCAGTCATATATAAGAGTTAAGCAATTGCCAAGACGTCCTAAGTGGCTATCGTGTTGAAGAGAAGACGCACAGCGCGAAAACACGTTCTGGCGAAGCTCATTGCATTCATACAGCGCTCCAATGGCAGGCGAGAAATGCATAGCAATTGGAGATAAGTGGTGAGGGGTGACGTAGGAAATTCTAGTTTAGAAAATCGCGGTTGGACCTATCTAAGAGTTTCATGGTGAATGAGCAGAAAAGCAGAAGACAAAGGTCACTGCGAAGGCAAGAACATTTCAAAAAAATGCTTTGAACATCCGTGGTGATTCAAGCTATTAACGAGCTACTTCAATAAATAAACATTCATATTAAAAGCTGTGGATAGGATCCGGGAATGAAGCCGTCAGTCCTATCATAATTAGTCTTTTTGTTCGACCATTCTCAGAAAGTTCGGTTCAAGCAAAATGACACTAACCGCTTACCTTAAGAAAAGGACACAGGATAGAACTAGAAGAAGCTGGTCAAATTTTTCACAAAAAGTAAGCCATCGTTAGGGACGCAATTAAAAGTATCTACATTCGGAGTGCTCACTTCCTTCTCCTACTGAACCAGAATGAGACGCGAGGAGGGCCCCCTACTGACGGGCGTAGCTCCCTCGCGTCTAAAGGGTAGGCGAGTGGCGCCAGCACATCGACGGCACGCCTGCGGCGCGTGATGACGGCCAATGTACGCGTGTAGGTGACGTAGTTTGGCGCGACCCAGACATGAAAACAAAGCATAGGTTGCTGCCTC